TTTATACATTTCGTCAAACATTTCTGTTGGGCGATAATAGGATCAGAAGATAAACGTTTTTTCATGCTTCAAAATAAAGTTATAAAGTATAACTATTGTGTCGATTATTTTGACTATATATTTAATGTAAATTCATATACGTGATAACTATAATTCAATTGATCCGTTTTGATATGATTCAAGTGGTTTAAAAATAATCATCCTCCACTAGAATATGAAAAACAAAAATATATGAATTATTATTATATTATTATATTTTGTGTGAAAACTGAAAATATTAAAAAATAAATAAATTGACTTCTATTTTTTTATTTTTTTTTATTTTACTAAATTTGAAAAATCGAATTATTGAAAAAACAAAAATCAATAACATGAAAGATTGAGTACACCATCCTTAGCCATTGTTCGTCATTCATTATTTTATATTCTATCGCATTATTTATTCTACAACACTCATTTTTAACCACACATTTTTCATTAAAATAATATTACATGTTAACCAAAAAATTTTCTTTCTTTTTTAACCATACATTCTCTATTAATCTACTTTTCCATAATACATTTTTCAAGATTTAAAGGGCTCAAACACACCCTAACTTCACTAATTGAATGCAAAATCCAAGGAAAAGAAGAAGGCCGATGGGGGGGGGGGGGGGGGGGGGGTGGGGGGGGGGGGGGGGGGGGATGGAATTTAGATGAAAATTCAGCCAATCAAATCTTGAGATTGTGATTATGTGAGACCTTTCACAAACAAAAGGCTCAAGCACGACACAAACACCTTGAGTCAAAAAGTGAGAAATTAATAATTTTCAACCTATGCTTTATCTAACTTGAAACAAGACAGAACGGTGCGCTGGTATACAATACCAAACTAAATTAAACTGCATAACCATAAAAACTTTAGATTCTTGTAGTATTTATGGCGGCACATACCTATACTATACAGGGGCAGAGAGGAGTGATAACAGACAACTCTTTAGAGATGGCAAAATAATCTGTCTCGTCGACAGGTTGGCGAAGCAGGGCGAACCCGCCCCGTGAAGAAGTTAAAAAAAAAAAAAATGTTAGTTTGAGTATAATTCCTTTGAATTTTTATTTTATTTTCTAATAATAACATATAACTCGAGATTTTGAAAATGTAAATATATATTTAAAAACAAAACAAAAGGGGGCAAGCCACCGTCCCAAACCTGGCCCATTGTCGTCTCTAAGGCCTTGGAACAAATATCCGGATCTCCTCGACTAATGATTATTATCATGTTAGGTCAAATTTTCTTTTTATTATTATTTAATGGAATGTTGAATCCCATTTACTATTGAAGTCCAAGCATAATATAAATAAATTATACATGGACTTTGAGGACTATTGTTACACCTCGCCACACGTGGCTCCACGTCATCGAGGTCATCTTGCCCACATCGCCGACTATCGAGGCTCCTTGGTCAATTATTGGATTAGCCGACCCGCTCAAGTATTGGAATCACCTCCAGTGAAGCCTCCCACACAAGTGGCGAGACCAGGGAAATTAGTTCAAAACCCATTCATGTCTCTTCCGTCGAGCAGACACGCCGAGGCAAAGAAGCTCCACAAAGTCTGAAGCCCTTTAAAATAAGTTATGATCTACACGAAGAAAATTCTGAATTTATGTATGAATTTTTTTATTAGAATGATTTATGAGACTTTTATAATAAGTATAAATGTCAAATTTTGTCAATATGATGGCTGCTCTGTGTAAGCAATAAATGCACTACAAGTGAGTAAGTCCAAATTGATGCGCAGGATTAATGCTTCAACTAAGGAGATGAGGCCACATATACTTTCATCCAAAAGGCTACCATTTCATTTGTAATGCTATAAATACCTCATCCAACTAATATTTGAAGGTCAATGCAACTCTAAATACTAAAAGCCACTCCTTATCTTCTCTTTTTACTGATTTTAAACTTATTTATATTATTTCGCTTTGATTACATTGTTTACGATTGATTATCATTACATAATCATTTCACAAATCTATTGCTGAAACTCGAACACATTTGTCTCACGTCGTTAAGCTTCTCCCACATCTACATTTTTGGAGTAATGACGACTTGCGACTAGTCCTTACGTGTTGAAACTAGCTCAAGTGTGAGCCCGACTTCTGTTGTCCTCAGAAAACTAGGTCAACAATGATATCATGAATGATCTAGTAAAGCCCGTGTATATCCATACGGGTCACCAATCGATCCATAGTTGTACCCATGTCCATAATCGTACTGACTATAGTCAGTAAAATAACTTCTACGTATTCTGGGTGCTTTAGCTTAACCCATTTCAACTCTGAATGGTACCCTATCCTTGCTAAGGCCAGCATAAGTATGTTCAGGTCAACCAACCCGGAAACTTTTGCAGTTCCTTCTTAGGAAAAATTCATAAACCATGTATTAACTATGCACAGTCCAAAAACCATGTTTAAAGTTTAACTAATGCAAAAATCAGGTTTTTATCTAATTAATTAAAAATATTTTTAATCAAATATAATAAAATTACAATTATACAATTAATGATCACGTGTACACATTTATAGGTCACAGATTTATTTCTTGGTCACGTATCTTCAAATTAATTGGTCACAAATTATTTCGAAATCACGAATCAAAAGTTTGATAGGTCACAGATTATTTCGTAGTCACGAATCATAATTTATGCATCAATTTTATAAATCACAGTTTATGTTATTGGTCACAAATCTAAAAAATTATAGGTCACGAGTCACAACTATAGGTCACAAATGGTTATAAATCCAAAATATTATATGTCACAGGTCACGTATTTTTGAATTTGATGGTCAAAAATTATTTTTTAGTCATAAAATGATCGAATTTCAAGGTCACAGATTAATTGTTGGTCACAGACACCAAACACTGATCTCCATCCACCTCAGTACATTGTCACAAATACTCCACCACCAAACCCACAACCATTGCCATCTGAACCACACCATCGCCGCCTAAACCAAATCACCAACCAAAACTGCCACCGTGTCCTTCACCACACCACCACAACCTCCAACAAAACACCGACCAAGAAAGCCAACCACAAACGCCACCACCGCACCCACATCCACGCTGTATAGAGTCCACCACCATATAAGACACCGTCATCGCACAAGACACCATCCAAATCCATCGCCAACCAAACACATCACCACCGCAACCTCACGCCCACAGCCAGCACCATTACCGCCAGCAACACAAACCCCAAAACTACTCCACACCCACTACAAAAATCAAATTCAAAGTTGAAGACCGCTGCCCCCACCACCATTTTTACAACACCACCGTCACCAAACTGCAAAGAGCAACACCACCACACAGGCGCACACACCACCACCGGTCAAATTCACCACTACCGCCTGTAAGTTGTAACCTACCTAGATCGACTATAACCCTATTCGTGGTCACCAAGTAGAGGAGAAGAGAGAGAAAAACCAATAGAATAGCCACCGGTGAGGATGCTTTTGAGCGTCGCCTCCATCGTGATCGCCGTCGTCGTAGTGAATCGTCGCCGACGGTGGCGGCAATGATGTTTCATGATCCAGAGAAGGCAGAGTATGGAGATGGTAGAGAGAGAAAACAAAACATGAAATTAGGGTTGGAGAAATTGAATTGGAAGAAATTAATATTTAAATTATTAAATCAATACCTGATTGTTGCATAATGAAACTCTAGCCCTGATGTTTGAATTGTGATGTTTAAACCCTTGAATTTATGTAATTTTCCCTTCCTTCTTCAGCATCTATGGTGACAGAATATACCCCAACCAATAAATTAAAATTTATGCAAATTATTAGTACGTTATCAAATCGTGTCATTTAAAACTAAAAATATTTGGGTACATTGAATTAAATAAGTTTAAACAAAATGACAAGTAAATAATTTGCATTTTTGCTACTCTATTTTTTATTTTTTTATTTTACTAATTTCAACGTACTGATTAAATTTAAGACTTCCATCATCTTCATTTTACATGCTTGGCAATGGACATCAACCTTCAAAACACAACACTAAAACACCAAAATATTATGTACATAATGTGTTAATGTTTTGTGGAATTATACACGATATATACATAGGAAAAAAAGAAGCAATATTAAGATATAAGTCGCAGAATATTTATTTGCCCAATTTACACCAACTCATTTGGGTGTGCGTATTATTTTAAGAAAAAATAATTCATTTAAGACAACTTCAAGAAACATATCACAAATCCGGCAGAAAAGTGGGGTGAATCATATCGTCCAAATAGAAAAATTCACATTGAGTTTACCACGTTAAGATGATACTCTATTATTAAGTTATATACTCTTCTTTGCTCCCATCTAAAAATAAAAAATGAATAATCTTAAGTTAGAGGGTCGAAAAACTCAACGTTGTTATCCTCAAACAACTTGTAGTTGAACTTTCTTTTTGTAATATTACAATCGATCTTGTTTGGGCCCCATTTTAAGTGAAAGAATACGATTTTAAATAGTGATTGATGGAGAATCATTAATTAAAAATTAAGAAAATTTTTTGAATTTCTACGTAATATTATTTTATTAAAGAATATGTGATTGAAAATAAGTATTTAAAAAATAAAATTTTGGAAGAATGGAACTCAAACAAGGACGATATGAAAATAATGGTCAACATCAGATTCAATTATAAAATGCCCCTAACAAAAATGGGAATGAATAAGAATTATGAAAGAACTAGCATTACATTTCTTTTCCATTTCCATTTAAGAATTCTAATATGTTTCTACGTCCTTCAAGACCCCAAAAAATAGACAATTTCTTGAGTGAACCATCACGAACAAGTTTGTGTTACTTTAAGGAAGTCTCTCAAATGGCTTGCACTTTTGTTAAGTTCTTCATTAATTATTCCCCAACGTGTCTCTGAATTGTGATATAAGTATAAACTTATTAAAAACACGATTTGACTAAGCTTGAAATGTTTACCTAAAAGCAAGGATGGAGTTTTAAAGAAATGCAGCTTGTACTTGCTCCAAACTCCCAAGTAGTTTTCGGCAGAGGATCAATGCCGAAGTACATAAATTCTTCGATAATTTTCAGGTACCTCAATGTCAGAGAGAATGGCTTAATAATCTTATTGTAGTGACAAATTATTCCGAGAGTTGAGGGTTAAAAGGAGAAACTGTAAAGAAACTGAAGGACTTTTAAAACTTATTGGAAAGATCTACCGAAGGCGCCTCCGCTCAAACTGGGACTCGTGACAATGTGGGTCGAGCCAATCTCTAGAACTCTTTGAAGTGTTGGATGACATTCTTCCACCACCAACAAGCTCTCTCAAGTTATCGACCTTATTTTCCCGCCCAGTTCCACAGTATTGCCTGTCTGCTTCCTTAAGTTTCTGTCTTAACCTCTGCTTACGACTAGAAGAATTCAGCTCTTGCAGCTTCGATTGTGATGGCGGGGCTCCATGAGGTCCGAGATATATCTTCTCTTCTTTATTAGCCTGCCAAATCGTGATTCGTAAAAAGGTCAGTATACTTTATTAGTCAGTCGAAACCCCACTTTTTTGCTTTATTTGCGTGCTGATTTAAAAACTTAAAAAGCAACTTTACCTGAACTGTAGATGGTTTAGAATCTTCTACTTTTGGAGAATCAGTTTGATTCTGGTCTGGATATCCAATGCCCAAGCTTGGAATCACAAATCCATCAGTGTCTAGCAAAACACATTAGAAAAAAAGATGTCAATACAATGATCTCTCCATTATGCAATAGCCCAGAGATTTAAATACTTTGAATTAAAAACACGACATGCGAACAGAGATAAGATATTAATCTATCGATTAATCAGTCAGGCTCATAAACATGAATGATTTTTATGTTAAATAATAATGGGGAAGTTTTGGTAATTGGTACACTTGTGCTGGATGTGTGATTGCTTTAAATGGTCAATCAACTTGCACTAAATCAAACTACATGTGTTTGCTTTTGAGCTGACTAAAAAGACTAGGCAACCAAAACTCCAAGTACATAAAATGTAGGAGACGCTACTCATGGAGATTTTAAAAAACAATCAACTATGTATTTAGTAATTTAAATTACCAGCAGCAGAAAACAAACAAAAATTAGCTTTACTTTCAAATATTACAACATACATAGTTAGATGGGCATATGGTCAAATTGTGAAAATTAGTCGTTAATTCCTTCTTCCGACGGGATATTTCTTCATCAATTAATATCTGCCGATCAGTTAGTTTGGCATTATAGGACTTCAGACTAGTAATTAATGTTGGTTTATCATTTGGAGAAACAGATTTTAACCATACTCCCCTTCCACATGGGAAAAAAAAAAGAAACAATATACTCTTTTAAATTTTCTCCTCAAATGAATACCGAATTTCAAAACCATGTGACCTCATTTGAAATACCAGAAAGTTTTAACAAATGGCCTCATCCATAAATGCATCAGCCAACTGTCTATACACATAATTGCAAAAGTTTGTTTACAATAAAAAGCAATGACTAAGTACACCACGACCCAAATATCTAATCCTATCATTGGATAGCTCCAGCTCCCCGAACCAAAAAAGTATTCATACATGCTACTTTAGCTCATTCCACAATCATATACTTAATATAAATGCAAGCCTCGATAAACTTTTGATGTGATTCAAGTCCCTAAAAGGCCTTAACCAACTGTCAATATCTATAGTCACAAACTCTTTAAACAAATGGATGAAATAAGAACAAAGATGAACTGAATGAGCTTTAAAATAACATATAACATTCACTTAACCATTTTAACATTATTTATTAGAAGTTTTATGTCTTGTTCATAAGACTCAATCCATCAAAGGCAAACAAACCATAAATTAACATCCAAATTATATTGAGTAACATTCGAATCTGATCGTGTTTGGGCAAAAACATCATATATTAGATTAAAACGGCTTAGCATTAATTGCAAGTAGAAAACGTGTATTAGATATTATTTGTAGTAATCCACCAAAAGTGAATCAAAATCAGAACCCAAATTCACGCTGATAGACATAATGTGGACAAATTTATTAATATAATCGTAATGAACAAAAAAGACCACAAATCATAAAGAGTGCCTGAATCGATCCTAAATTTGAAACAGTGTTAATCGATTTTAAATTAAATCAATTAAGTAAAAAAAAACTTCTAAATTTCAAAGAGACTCAAATGCAAAGGAATAAAAAACGGAAATACCCCACTCGTCTACTTCAACGGAAGGAGTGGGATGAACAGGAGAGGAGTCCATGTGATGCTGATGATCATGGATTTGAGTTTGCAATTGAAAATTTGAACGAGTCTCCACCGCCGGCACAAATATGAGTTAACTCGCTCAAGAAAATTCAAGCTTCAACGAAAAATCAATAATTGGTAACCGAATCTTGGCTTTGTGCGGAAAGAATGAAGAAAAACCCTAGAAAGATCTATTCCTTCTACCTACTCAAATGGTACCTGAACTTTTGACTGCATTTCTTATAGGTACTTAAACTTTTAATTTTCCCTCACTCATACCCAAACTTCTAAATTTGTTAACATCCATACCTAGTTTAACCGGACATTTCTTATAGGTACCAAAACTTTCAATTTTCTCTGATCCATCCTTGAACTTTCAAATATATTCACCATACATTCCTAATTTAACTAGGCGTCGACAACTCGAATAATTCAATCAAACGTAGTAATTGACATATAAAAAAACAACCCAATTAATTAATTTATCTAACACTTGTTAAATTAATTAATTGACAAATCACAATATTCAAGTTCTCCTTTTGTGTGCGACCCATCAGATTCCCGATCACGATACCTAACGACGTGAAATATTATTTTGATCTAATCAAAATCTATAAATTAAAATACCATTTTAATTTATCACCAATTCACACTCGTCGTCCCAAATTAACACCTAGCAATGTGTCACGGCAATACATGTGACGGGAAATGTCATGTGGTATGACAAAAATCATACTCATTCGTTTATCGTGAAACTATAATTCCTTCGTCAATATGATCCGATCAATTACGAGATATGGAAGTGTGTCAATTTCGATTATCAATCATATCTTTTACTCCACTATTAAGCCAATATAAGTTGAAAACTCCTTTTCGACTTACGAGTACACCTTGGCCAAGGATTTCGTTATTGACTTAATCGAATGAAATATGGATCATAATCTCTTACTATCTAAGAGTGACGAATCCTCTATTGGTCATTCACAACCTTCATACGATTCTTGACATATCTGAACGATGTCGTATTAGCGGCTCTTGACAGAACAACATCCAATATCGTCAAACTATGAGTGTCCTCATATAAGGTACTATGATGACCTCAAGTCAAAGGACCAATTGTACTACCGAACGTTAAATATTAACCACTGACGGTCGGATAGTTATCCATGTGGAATCTGTAGGCGGGTCTCCAATGTTTTGTTCTATAACAAAACATCTACTTGTTCATTCAAATGTCACCATATTTTAACTTGTGAGATCAGCTACTTACTCACAAGTAAGAAATGCCACACGTGATGGTCTATCTATAATCACGATATCCGTATCTCATTATTACTTATGACCACGGACGATTTAAGGTTCAATAATATGTAATTTGTATCTCACAATCACAATTCCTTGTGATTAACAAATTACGAAGATTTGAATTTAAGGACTCTATTATTTAATTTAATAGACATTTAATTAAATAATAGATCTACCATTAAATCGCATTAATTATATATTAAAAATATTTATATCCAAGGTTGATTGGACCTAGGGCATGACACTTGCAAACTCCCACTTGCACTAGATTCAATCACTTATGTATCCAATATTATAAGAGTCTACACGACAATCATGTTTACACTATGAGGACTCTTTGTCAGTGGATCTGCATTATTGTCAAATGTAGGAATTCGTTCTTCTCTTTACGTCATTTCTATGTATTATCTCTCTAATGAGATTATACCACTTTAATACATGTTTGGATCATTGACGAGACCTTAGTTCTTTCGCTTTCGCGATGGCTCTATTGTTATCACAATACAATAGCAAGTGATCAACAATATTAGGAACTATTCCAAGTGCATTTATGAACATCATGATTTACATTGCAACTCTTTGCTACTTTTGAAGTAATCATGCATTAGGTTTCTGCTATTGAATCAACGATTACTTCACGTTTGGAACCTTTCCAACATATTGCTTAAGAGTAAACCAGTTTCTCCATATGAAATCTTCTCAAGATTTCATCTACATAAATTGAGATGAGTTAAGCAATCTTCTAAATCTACCTCTATAGATCAAGTTGTTTCTCTCATATCGTTCACGAATAAATCCTTTAACAACCATTATTTCAACGATTGAAATATGGGGATGTTGTTTTCTATAATATTAGGAATACGATAATGTTCTCACTATCTTTTTTTAAACACACTATTCGTTTTCAAATTGATAAAATTAAACACTTTGACTTTTCCATCAAATCGAAGATTTCAGCTCCAACAGACTTCTCTTAACATATAGTCACGGTATGCAACTGTTGCAAGCAAAATCTGAATGGACTTCAGCAAGGTTACAGGAGAAAGGTTTCATCAAGGTCAACACTTAACCTTTGCTACTAGCCTTGCTTTGTATATATGGATATTCCCATCCATATCGACATTTTCCTTGTAAACTATTTACAAAACTTTATGGGTTTTATTCCATCAGGAGGCTCAACCAAGGTCTAAACCTTGTTCACATATGCCGAGTTCATCTCGAGTTTCATGGCTTCTTGCTGTCTCTTTTAAGTCAACACTTGACTTTATTTTTGTGCAATTAGTAGGTTCATCATCGTGGATTAGTAATACCTGATTAGTAATCATGGATTCGCACATTCTTGAAGGACGAATGATCCTACTAGACTCACATAGAGCTGACATGTCCTCAAGAGTCTCTACTCCCTGATTAAGAATATGTCCCATATCAGATATGGGATAAAATTCGGATTCATCTACTTGGTTAACTCTATTTGTGGACTCTTGAACTCTTTCAAGTTCTATTTTGCTCTCACCGTCTTCTCCTAAAGTAAACATTTTCTCTAAGAGAGCGACATGTCGTGAGACAAAGACTTTCTTCTCAATGGATTAATAGAACTGATATCCAAATATTTGTTTTAGATATTTCACAAATATGTATTCATCGGATATATATGCTTAAGTTTATCCGATTCAACGCGCTTCAAATAAGCGTTATAACCTCAAATTTTCATATGAGATAAGTTGGGACTATTGTCTTTCCATAGCTTGTATGGAGTTATGTTAACCAACTTAGATGAGACATGATTTAGTGAGCAGCACACTACAATCAGTGCATGACCCTAAAACGGTTGTGGGAGGTTTGCACGACTTATTATTAATCGCATTATATTTAATAATTTACGATTCATCCGTTCAAATACACCATAATGTTGCAGTGTATATGGAGAAGTTCACTGCTAGAGAATCTCATTCTCTCTTAAATAATCTAAATTTTATCTTTAAGATATTCTCACTTCGATCGAATCTTAATGTGAGGGTATCTTTTCCTATTTGTTTCTTACTTCTAGCTTGAATCCTTTGAACTTTTCAAGAACTCCATACTTGAATTTCATCAAGTATACATGATAATTGATGACATAAGAGAAACCTCATCCGACATTAATTGACATGGGTCCATATACATCACTATGTATTATGCCAATATTTATGCAGACTTATTCTTTTCAAGTAAAAAGAGATTTGGTCATTGTATCAAACAGGCATGTTTTGCACTTGTTAAACGATTCAAAATCAATTGACTTTACGTATACATCTCTATATAATTTTGAAATTTCATTGCATTTATATGACCAAGTCTGTCGCGCCAGATTTAAGTAATAATTAGATTATCGTATTTATGCCTTATAATTTCTATACTCATTATAGAATCCTTAGTATTTAGAATATTAATATTATTTTTGTAGCTTACCATAACTATTAAGATATTAATCAAAATAAGCAAGAACAACAATTGTTCTTAACATTAAAATGGTTCATGTCTAAACATAAAATTCATTTTAATGTTCCAACTATGATGGGTACAATGCAACATTTCTCTAATTCCATTACTTAGTCAAAAGGCAACGGCAAGAAGTATGCTCTTACCGGCAACGCGGTAACTTTTGCTCATCTTCAACGTGTAGGTCAACTTCTCCCTTTCGTAGTGGTCTATTTCTATTTAGTTTCTCCATATTTATATAAATATGGGATTCACATCTGGTATCAAATACCTAAGAAGCTTATGAAGTAGATGTAAGCCTTGAAATATTTCTTCCAATGACCTTTTCATTCTATAATGAAAACAATGGTAATTAGACTTGGTATTTGTCATTCGCTTTGACCGTCTCAACCATACTGGATGCTTTCCCAAAAGCCCCTTTAGATTTCCTTTTAATACCCTTAGAGGTATCAATGGTTTGCCCACTTCTAATTTTGATATTGGACATAACAGTTCTAAGCATTTTAAGCAACTCAATAAGTGTGCATTCGAACTTATTCATATAATAATTCATAATTAGTATGAATAACTCTCTGACAGAAATTGCAAAGCTAAGTCAATACTTAGCTCGTAGTTCATGACTAAACCTCATTGAGACAACCTATCAATGATAATCATCTTCAGTACATGAGCACAGATCGAAGATTGCTCTGTCATTTTGCACCGGTATAGTTGTTTGGAAGTCTTATATCCTTCCTCACATGATTATTATCATACAACTCTTTGTAATGAAGAATTATGTGTTAACATCTATATTCTCAAGTTACTTTTGTAACTCAGGTGACATAGTTGCAGATATCACATACGTTACAGTACTATTGTCATCACTGCGTTTATTATAGCAACAACATTTTCCTTAATCGAGTCATCACCAGGTGTCTCTGGAAAATGGCTACTTAAGGACAATCAACTTTCTCATACTTAAGAACAATTCTCAAATTGCAGTGCCAATCAAGAAGATTTAATTTGGTTGCTGGCATCCAGCATGCCTCTCAAATACACATGGTTACTCACGATTCAATAAATATAAATGACGAAAAGAAAAAGAAGAATAATATATAAAATGCATCAATTAATTTAACCTGAACTTTTATTAAATTAATTATACTCCCACTGTTTAATTCAAATTTATGATCCTCTCACATAAATTTATGGAGTCTATACTCGACTCCCAGTGGGCTTGGATCCCATCTGTTATACCAAGACCTTGAGTGTACTCAACAAACCTTAATATAACATTTGAATAGATACTATTATCAATTGTATCTCCATACAACTCCCAGATTATTAAGCTGACAATTCTTTGTCTTCACACATCTTATGTGTTAGCTTAACATGCCTCTAAAATTTATCTCCTTGAGTGTATTCAACAAAAGATAAAT